TCTTGTAAATTAGCGCACTTTCATTTACACCCCCTGTAGCCTAGGGCACCCCCCTAGCGTCATTTGCCCAACAATGGGACTTTTAGGACCTAGCCCACGCGAGTTAGATTCCGCCTGACGTTAAATAGTAATAAATAAATAAATAAATAAAAGAATAATTAAGTATTGTTATTATAGTATTATAGTAGTGTCGAAATTCTCGGGAATTAGTTTTAAGATCATTCATTTTAGGTGTCCGCTACTGTTCCTCATCTCGCGATCGATTTCGGCTTTAGCTGCCACTCAAGATCACCAACCAGAGACGCAAACTTCCGCTATGATCTTTACTGGTGGTGGGTTTGAGACTTTTTGGTGATGGTTGTCCGTGCGGGTGAACCAAGTGCTGTTTCGTTTTAACTACATAATCAAAGCCGACCCCTCGAATCTACAGTTCATGAAAGATCCTCGAAACTTCAACTGATCATGACCACTGACACATCATTGAAAATGTCATCCTCAAATGCAGCGAAAGAAGAGCAGCCTTTCTTGGTGTACTCAGACGCTGAAGAATTTCTTCCTCTTGAAAATTCCACCATCAAACCACGAAATACCTCTTCAGCACGAACCTCGAAATTCCTCTCGCATTCAGTAGCTATCTTCCTCACTTCTCTTTTCTGGTCCGTAATTCTCTACAAATACTCCACACCACCACGCCATTACGGCTCCCCAAAATACGAATACGTCCCCAGCGCTGCCCGCTACAACATAACCACGGGCGCACGCTACGTCTCCTGCGGACACAGTGCTACAGAGGCCATTGACTCCGGCTGTGTCTACTCACTCCTCCTCAACGCCTGGGTGCCTTCCGCTTGCGAAGCCCCAGATTTCCTAGAAGAGTATCTGGATGATGGATCCTGGGGTGCATTCGAAGATGAGAATCAGACAAAACCTTTGACGAAGGAAGAGCTGGGGTTCCGGGAGACTTATTTCACAAGTGCGAGGGATCATTATAACCATTGTGCAATAATGTGGAAGTTGCAATATTGGGCGCTGTTTGAGGAGTGGGGTGCGGTGGATAGTATCGTGGCCAGTCCTGCACATACCGATCATTGTGCATTATTTATGAGAGACCACCGTGATGATGAAAGGCCCACGCTGGTCGAAATTGGGTTTTCAGGGTGTTGGATAAGAAATTGAGGCGATGGAGAATGATGATTTCGGTTAAGTCAATGTGGGTTTTTTGAACTTTTAACTCAAATTGTCAGAAGATTATCCCTTCCAGAGTATCTCTACAAGGAATTCGTGCACTCCCAAGTGGATATGAGTAGATGCGATATCTAGGTTAATTTGAGGCTTAGGTGCTTGGAAACCTAACGTGGTTGGCTACAGTAAACGACTTTGTTCTACAAGGCGGATGTCGTAAGAGTGGATACCTTGACTCCACTTTAGAGTGCACGTTTCATTTGTAGGAATATATTCTGAAAGGGATAATGTCAAAAACTGAGCACATGTGAGAAAATCAAACTTACTAAATTATTGTTAACACTGTACTAGTGGGCGCTCTCTCCTTTTACCATGGGATCGTGCATAGGATAGTCCAGAAGGTTCAAAGTTTAAATGTGACAGGTGAATTGTGTTGGTGTACTTACAGTAGTATTTGACTCTGCACAATTATTATGCATCTGGAATTATTAGATTTTGGACACAGACTAGACGGTTCCAGAGGGACAGTCTTGTCCTATGGAAGCTTGATATAAGTACTGGCGTGACTAATATTTGAGTGCAGGGCCATTTGGACCTATTCACACGATATAGCTACCTTCTAGGTAGTTAAGAACTAGTGACCCCGAAAATTTCTTATTCTGGCTTACTCCCTTATCCGTCCTCGCTATCACAATTCTTACTAGGTACAGGGCTCTCATGACGTGCTTATTAGCTTTCTAAAGCTTAAATAGACCACACAACTCACCACAGGGCTGGACCTCCAGCACCCCGGGTTTCGGAAAGAATTTGCTTGACAAACGACGTTTCCAATGCAAATTCTAGCGTGTTATGGGATCACTTGGGGGACGGAAAACTTCCGGACTTTTACCGCGGAGACTCGGCTTTAAAAAATAGATCTCTTACTGTACTCTACAGATATTACGAAAATATAAGAAAAATACTAGTAGACTTCAATTTAACTTACTTTTCTTTCGACTTTACCCGCGCGTTTTTTATTACGTTGTTGTAAGTCAATAGTGGTCAAAGATACAAAAACAAGTATGATTTCGGAGGAACAAATTACGAAGTTTCTCCCATCTTCGCAGAGAGGACTCCCCAGAGGATGTCATTTTTGGGAGGTGCCACTAGAGTTTCTTCCAGATGCCGAAGTTTGGATGTCTAAATCAGATTGGCTACCAAGAACTAACTTCGGGATACCCCTCAAATAGCCCCAGAAAAGAAAAGCTGGAGAGCTATGCCCACCATTGAAGCATCGACATCCCACAAGGCATATACTTCGTTCCAGGCTTGTGGGTTTACTAGGGTAAGTAAGGTTAGCAACAGGGTAAAACCCCCTGGAAAACCGACAATTGTTTCGCCTAGAAGGAAGTAATCAAATTCCCGAACACCTTACTTTGTTTCGTATAAAAAGGAGTTTGCATATTCCAAGGTAAAGAGTTCTAACATAGAGCTGTGTATGATATTAGGTGGTCAAAGTATCCTAATACAGTATCTGTTTACACGTCTTTGATACTTTGGTTTCACGCGCACTAGTATCAGGCATCATTCTAAGGTAAGACCAATATGGGAAATACACTACATAGGTGAGAATTGACGATAGTTTTCCCTTCAACTCGTTAGCCATTGTCGCAGATTTAAGACTTTGAAGAGAGATAAAGAAAATTTAAAGATGAACCATTTATATTCTAGTACAAGTTTAGTCACTTTCCTTTAATATACTAGTTTTCTTGATTTGACTAATGTAGGGTTAAGGTTAAGAAGATGTGAAAAACGTGTGGAAAATCAGACCTGGTCACGATAGTAACGCTTAGATACCGGGAGTGTCCTCGAAAATAATTATATCGTGGATGTATTTACGATACGATATTAGCTTTCTAACGATAATTGCTTTATTAGGTATCGATTATCTCCATTAATCATTATTACTAGTTAAATACTTAAAAGAATCTTTATATAAATAAGTAGTAATTCTACTATTTATAGGTAGTAGAGTAAATGATATAAGTACATGCTTGCTTGTTTACACTCGACGTGCAAAACATATCATTTAATTCCTATTAATAGTATACTTCTTATCACTACTGAATCACCAGTTAAGTAGATAAAATCATTACCCTATCTTGCTTCACGAACTCACTATAGGTACTCATACTCTATTTTACTCAACTCTACTCTACTCACTACTTCTCACTTAGTAATAATGTAGTTGAGTAATCCTTTAACACGCTGATTATATCAAAGCTGTATGTTTTCACTGAAAATAATAAAGGAAGAGCTCACATAAAAGTCAGAGGAACAGGGGAAATGTGTCCTATGTACAGCAATTATATTTCGCTCATTAAATAATCATTAACCATATAACATATTTTACTCATAATATCCAAACATTAACATTAAACAACAGTGATAGCATCACTCAACTTCAGGTCTCGGCTGCTGAATCCAACAGACAGCCCAATCTCACCAGTTGGGATAATCCAGCCCTGGGAGAAGATATCCCAGTAAGACAAATCTCTTCTCATCAAGGTGAATGACACGGTTTGTGATTCACCGGCCTCAAGCTTGACCTTCTCGAATCCTCGGAGTTGCTTTGGTGGGGTTCCTGGTGGTGCGGATCCTGGCATGGAGATGTATAATTGTGGGACCTCTGCACCGGCAACTGAACCGGTGTTCTTGAGATTAACGGTGACAGTGTACAGGGACTCCCAAAGGGCTGGGTTTCCACCTGGAATAGCAGTTTGTGCTGGAGCACTCGCTGGAATTGCATCGCCAAGTTTGCTGATCTTAAGGTCAGCAACCTCGAATGTGGTGTATGAGAGACCGAAACCAAATTCGTATAGGACGCTGATGTTCTTGGCATCAAAGTGACGGTAATCAATCTCCAACTTCTCCTCGAAATAAAGTTGCCAGTCATCAATACCGGTGGTGTTGATGGAATCAATGAGAGGGGCATTGTAGTCACCGATGTTTTGGGCAATGGTGTATGGCAACTTTCCAGAGGGGTTGGTTTTACCGTAGAGGAGATCCACGATGGAGTTTCCAGATTCCTCACCCGGGAAGTGAGCAGCCAAGATAGCGGTGACGTTAGGGTGGTTGGCGAAAGGAAGGTTGTTGATTCCAGCTGAATTGGTAATTACAACAGTGTTTGCGCAGTGCTCGGCAACGTTCTCAACAACCTCGTTACCAGACCAGTCAGAATTCAAAGACTTACGGTCAACTGCCTCCTCAGCCCAGGTCTTCAGGAAAACAAGGCAGACATCTGGGGGAGTTGGGTTGACGAGAGTAGAGATGTTGGCGGTGGCAAGGAGAGTATTGTTCAAATATGCTTGAATGATAGCACCATCCTCCTTGGCCTTTGCCTTGAAAGCATCCAAAGGAGTAACAATGTTGGTCAAGCGACCAGTTCCGGAACCACCACCAGCAACGAGAGTTCCGTATTCATAGTTGTCTTGGTTGAGATATCCCTGGGTTGGGTCACCAGCGTCGTTACCGAAAATACCGATAGAAAGCGGCTTTGCAAGCGGAAGGGTGTTATTAACGTTCTTTAACAAGATTGTCGCCTGGGCACCGATCTCCCGGATAAGCACAGAGTGGTTGCCACGAACATCGCGGGATCTTGGTCCATCCAGCTTCCACTCCTTGAGGTAAACGCTCTGTGGGTGGAAAGTGTTGAGGTCTGCGCTGGATGGATCGACAGTTGGGAACTCTGGGTCATCTTGACCAAGGAAGTAGTATGGGGTCATGATTCTGACGATCATGTCGTCCACACGAGAAACTGCTAGAGTACCGTTGGCAACAGCAATGCTGACGTTCTTGGCGAAGTTTCCGTCTCCTCCATTAGGGTAGACCTTTCCATACAATCCAAATCCACCAGGCTGGTCCATATCCAGACCTGCGTCAATGGAAGCTACACCAGAGTGAGTTGCGCCCCAATCAGAAACGACATATCCTTGGAACCCAAGCTCTCCCTTTAACAGGCCGTTCAGAACTTTGGAGTTTTGACAAGCTTGAGAACCGTTGAGTCTTTGGTATGAACACATAACGGATGCGACACCGGCGTGGACAGCGTTAGCAAAAGGCCATAAGTACAACTCATGCATTGTGCGGTCGTCAATGTTGCTGGATATCGATTCTTGCAAGTGCGACACTCCGTCAGCCAGGAAGGTTGGGTTACGTTGTGTTTCTTGCTCGTTTCCAATGAAATGTTTTGCTGTTGCTTGAACACCAACGCTCTGAATTCCCTTGATAGACTCTTCCATAGCCACGCCGGTGAGATATGGGTCAGGGGAAAACCCTTCCCAGTTTCGTCCGCCAAGAGCTGAACGACCTAAAGGACCAGCGACGGGCCTGAATTGTTAGAATGGGTTTGAGGTATGGATTCAATCACTCACGTAAGTGCAACTCGTGCTCCCTTCGCTCTAAACTCTTCGCCCATGGCAACACCACGAGCGTGTATTAAGCTACGATCCCAAGATGGAGCGGTGGAAACACCAGCTGGGAACACACTTGCCAAATCCACGGTCCGGATAGCAAGTGGTCCATCCTGAAGACAGATTCCTGGGAATCCAACACGAGGAATTGGATAAATGTTTCCAACGCAAGGTCCAGGAGTTCCAGTAACCATAATATCCTTTTCTTCAGGCGTTAATTGTGCAACAAACGCCTTGGCCTTTTCCAAAGCTGCCTCCCAACCACCGACACCAGTTGCATTGGCTAGAGAAATGTTAGCGAATGGGATTTTGAAGATTCTCGAGAAACATACGAGATGGATAGACTGCAGGCGAGTGTCCATATGAGCCCAATATAGTTGTGTTGAGTGGTTGTACAATAGCCGAAGCCGTGGCAGCGAATGCTGCCACTTGCAGGAAGGAAGAAAGCATATTGAGAAACTTCAATTGATGGTTGAGGGAAGAAGGATGCTCATTTAAGAAGGGGGAACAAGCTATACTTATAGCTGAAGCCTTACACTAATTACATGGAGCCATAGGCGTCAGATCGTCACCTAACAACATGTCTCGTTGGGGAAAAAAGTTCATGCTGCAAAAGCATTAGGCGGCCACGAGACTGTCGACTACGGTAAGAAGTTGGCACGGAGGAACACGATGGTCAAAGTGGGATCATTCAGGGGGTCCTAGTAAGAAATCCTATGAAAGTGTGCTTGAAGAACAGCAATTGTCAAATCAAACAGGTCGTTGCTACAAAGTATTTCCATAACAAGTGTGTTAACTCCGAACATGCAATTCAAGTTGTACTAAGATCTCCGTTGGGCCCTCAAAGACCTTGGAAGAAGGTGGACACCATCCAAAATGATCCTAGCACCAGGTAGGGGTTTCGTTGAGCTTGAAATTCGCATCATTATACGCGAAGTTCAACCGACATGGGATGGCATAAACCACCACCCAACGGTAAGATGGAGGTGGGGCGAGCCCCAGAGAAATGAGATCTGGAGTACATCTTCCCCATTTCCCCAAACCCCAGCAGAGGGAATGTGGGGGATTGTGGGAACCCCATGGCTGGGAGATATTCGGATGTTGCAAGTGTGGTGATACACGTGAGGAGAAAGAAAAGGACCGATGCTCGTAAACTTGGAAGAGCTCCCTCATACCCAAGCATAGAAGTACATGGTTACCCCGCCTATACCGGTCGCTATTGACCCGTTGGAAACTCGAATTGCACAGTACGGAATAGAGAGCTGGAAACAGTGAAGGTTTACCGAGTTTTTCAACCGACTAACCGCCTGACAAGTCTGTCGAAACCTATTATTGACTGAAATTCAGACAAAAAATCACACCACTACGGGAAAATCTGATGGGATTATAGAGCTTCAACGGGTGAAGGTTTTACACTAGAACGGAAGCCATCCTGCTTATAGTTAGTTTCTGGGATGGAGACAGCGTCAATACGGATTCAGTTGAATAAACATTTGGAAAACTTCGGAAGCTTGGTGTTCTATAACTGGCTACAAATCTCCGAGTTGCTATTCATGCCACACTCGAGTAACGAGGAGCAATGGAAATTGATAAAAATATGACAAATATGTGCTGATCGAAACTTGGTTACCAAATAATGACAAGGAAAAAAACTGCGCACGTCACCGTATTATGGATCAAGATCTTAGTGGCTGGATCCAATCCATGTCATGGACACTTCGACCCGTCAGCACCCCCCCATGCTTGCCGTGTCTTGGCCATAAAGAACAGTGACGGCGGCTTCTCTGTCGGACGAACAACTCATTGATGAAGGTCTGCAGACTCAGCATGACTCGGACAAAATCGGTGAAAACTTTAAGAGAAGAAAAACACAGAAACTTGAAGTGTTTGACGAGTATTGGGTAGACCGTTAAATTAGAACTATCTTGCAATTGATAGACAGACTAACCAACGTTTCTTCAAGTTTTGCGTTTCCACAACAGTCTGAAACTACTCTTCCAGACAAAAATGAGCCGAGACGAAAGATTGAGAAGGCGATACATCTCACACCGACCTTACCGTTCCCCGCCTCTACCGGATGCTAAGTATTGGGAGCCGGATGCCCCGATATCACGATGTTGATCTCCACAGGCCGGTCTTTGTTCGTCGGACACTCCCCGATGAAAAAGGCAGCCCGCCTGAAGCCGACGACGCTCGTATTCCGTATGAAGTAGTTCGCTACAGTTTCTAGAAGGATTTGATCTGTCGAGTTAAGTTGAGTAAACAAAGAAGCACGGGATACATTTCAGGTGTCAACTTTAACCTTGTTTGAGCGATCTCCCGTCACAGAACTGTACCGGTAGGAATTGTAGCGAGGAAATGTTGGTTGATTTTAGAGTTGGCCGTTGAGCCGCAAAGGGGAGAAACTCTGAGAAGCGATTCTTCCCGTTCCAATGTTTAGCCGACTCCATATCCCCCGCCTCATGCACTCCACCTGCACTCCACCTTCTCCATCTTTTCCAGGTTCCCGCCGAGGTTCAGAGTTTAAATTCCGCTTCTTTGGCCGTCCTCCGCACACGACACTTCTCCACATCCCCAGGTCTCCAAGGATCCCCAAAAGCGTATTTCCCCAACTCCCTCCAACTCGATAAGCCGCCGGTAATACCGCCGGATGACGAACATCATCACCCATCATCTCCTCCCCTATTTTGACAATAGTACGAAATGTGGGACCCAAATTTCTCCTCCCAAGTTCACATCGTGATAAACTCATCTCATAATGTCGTAAGTTGACTCTAAGGAGAATGCATTTTTTCGGAGGACAGTGGATGAGCAGAATTTGGCAAGATTAATCTTTAGGACGCCTCAGAAGACCACGAGAAGCTAAGCTCATCATTGCAGTCGTCTACGAATGGAAAAGAAGATAAGAAATGGAGTTTCAATTACTCATTTCGATGTCGTAAAAAGATTCCAGGCCTTTCTTGAATTATAAGATGTTTCTAAAGTGCCTTGAGAACAAAATTTCGACTTTGGAGAAGTCAGCATGCTCAGATAATGATTGTAGAACAATATGATCGAGTGCTGGGCTCTTAGCTTCCTTTTTCTATATTCTTCAGGGTTGCAATTCCTGTAGACTAATAAGAAAGTCATCCCTGGCAGAACAAGCGAGTAGCCAGCTGTTGTGTTTCTCTGATTTAAAAATAATGATTTGCGCGGACAGGAATTTCATGAAGCGTTGCCGAAGCACCTACAATAGTAGTTTTGTTTATTAATCATAAACCACATTCTGCAATTGCGGGATTTGCGGACAGAGATTGGCGAGGTGCAATAAAAGCGGCACACGATCATTATTTTCATTCGTGCGTAGTTAATAGCCCTGAGTTACCATATATCAATATTGACCGTATTGAATATAGCGAGGTTGAAGGAGGCATAATAAATCTCTACACACTCTATATGTGGACGTTGTAACTTGAACCTGTTGCCAGAGTTTTTTTTGGTACAATATCTTTTGTTTTTACACGGTGTACCTTACGCCATAATGGAAATCCCTACATATTTCTACACTGTAATGAAGATTACATTTTTTGTTATACTACGAAGCGAAGCACCTAATGCCGCTTTGACCGGCATGTTGGTTGAGATGTGTTACACTTATTAGTATGTTGATAGATTAATAATCTTACAGCTACCAATTAGAACGAGCGAACAAGACATATTTCCAGTGGTGTTTACGGCCGTGTCGAGAAAAAGAGATTGGACGAGTAGAGGAGATTCCACGATATGAAACACTTGAATAAGTCTTGATTAGTACTCCAATTACACTCAACTTCCACAACTTGGCTTACAAAGCCTTAAGCATTTATCCATAGCCATTACATATAAATATAGAGTTGTACCTTCTTTGAGTTCGTCTTTCCCTTCCACAATCTATCCACATCAACTTCTGATCCTTCTTGAACGTTATCGGTTTTACGTTACTTCTCTCCACTGAACCACTTCGAAAGACTCCCCAAAATGGCTAAAGGTTCTCTCGTCGAAATACTAGTACGAAACGGGTAGGTAACCTTTCTTTATCATCTTCCTTTCTCACTAGCAATCATAGCAAATTCGCCTCAACGTACAAACCGCCCCCCGGTCTCCTCCAAATGGCATCAGCAGCCCGAAGTTCAGGAGGCGGCGTAATCGTTCTCTCATGTTCCGATCCACGACTTAATCCCTATGAAATCTTGGGACTTGACCAAAATCTAAGTAAGCCACTTTCTGATATAACACTCCTGTCTGCGAGCTAAATCATCTTAGAGGCGACCATGGTGAGGAACGCTGGTGGGAGAGTATTTGATGCTATCAGAACCTTGGCTGTTCTTCAAACGATTGGAGATCCAGGGACGATTGCGGTTATGCATCATACCGGTAAAGCATCTAATTATGACTCTCTACTTAACCCAGTACTAATTTCTTACAGATTGTGGCATGTCCCATTTCCATGATGCGGAAGTTAGGAAAGCGCTTTCTGAGTTGGCGCCGGAAGAGAAAGGTAGCATTGATGGAATAAAGTTCGGGGAGATCAATAATGGGTATGCTAGTCTTTCTTTTACATCACAAACAGAAACTGAGAGTTCGTAATAGCATTGAACAAAGTCTTCGCGAGGATATGGCTATTCTCAAGGCTTCTCCTTTTATCAAGAAGACTACTCAGATCGTTGGACTGGCTTATGATATCAAGACTGGTATCCTTACCGAGATAATGGACAGCGCTGAGAACGAAAGCGAACTGTGATGTTTTGTTTTTATTTTGGTTGAGTTTTGGTTTCTCTGTATGGTGTATCCAGGGGTATACCATGATGTTCAGGAAGGGGTTCGGAAGACTTTTTGGGAGACTTGCATATTGCTGACAAAGTCAAGGCCGGGTTGTCAATTGGCGGGCTTCGACTTTCTCAAACTGCTATCTGGCTATCAATCTATGAAAGTTGACGTTCTTTCTGTACACCATATTCAACTCATAGAAGTCTAAAAGCCGACCGAATAAGTTTGAATAACTTCAGGCACTATTAAAGTTGTTTTATATCCAATAACATGAGCAAGGCTGATCTCTAGGCGTTTGAACATGCAGTACTTGCCACAGTCTGGCCGCCGAATAGAATTCCACTGCCATCGCCTCCCTCATCATGAATGAACCAAACGTTGCTCCTTTGGCACTCAATTCCTGCATTTCCTGCAAGCAAGGAAAGCGAAAATGCAACAGAGCGAGACCTATCTGCTCCACCTGTTCAAGGCAAGTTCCTCCCCACATTTGCAGATACCCCGTATCTCACATCAAGTAAATCAGAGTAGGAAGACCATGTAGATACGAAGAAGACTCCACGTCTTTGAGTGGCCAAAGTCCGCAAATCGTGGGATGGCCAGTAGCCAGAAATGCGACTGCATCACTTGGCTCTTCAACCATCTTTTCACACCATCTGAATGTCGACCCATTCTTGCATGAATCTCTTCGTGCTCAGACTGTGAACATCGGCATCTGTCAAGAAGCAAGGAAGATCCTCGGGACAGAAGAAGAATTCCACCTTCTGATCGAGAATTATCTTGAGACTATGTGGCAAAGTTTCCCCATCATTTGTCGCGTGCAATTCAAACGACAACTACCCAATATATACGTAGACCCAAAAGGCCGACTTCATCGTTCTTTGTTTGGCGATTAATTTGATTATGCAAGTTCCTGATCTAGGGGCTAGTTCGAGTATGCAGTCGTCACTATATGTCAATATGAAGACTAGCATTGCTCTGCTGGAGGCGAGTGGATTTCTGAGTATTTGGTTTTTGCATGCGACATTGTTGCTTTGCTTTTACGAGGTCGGGCATGCGATGGATGTTTCGACCAGCATCTCTATTGCTGGGTGTGGGAAGATTGTGCAAGCGCTGGGTCTAAACAAGAAAGACTTTCAGGAATTGACCTATGCGGATGATGAGAAATTGATGAAAATTGAGCAAGAAAAGAGGGTTAGATGGGCTACCATACTTCTAGATCGGTGAGACTTTCGATATTTACAACACGTTTGAGCACTTGTATGATATTATAGTCTTACTGACATTAAACCTCTAGATTTATTAGCCTCCGTGACGGTTGCGCAAATTTCACGACCGAAGAGCCCCATTCAAGTGATCATCTCCCCGTCGACGAAACATTTATACCTCTTGTTGGTCTCCTTAACCCCCCTTTTCAAATTTGTTACCAACAAGTCTCAGGCGGTAGCAGCAAACGAGCCTCTAACTCTCGCCACTCCCTCCGACCAAAGAGCCGGACCCTTCGCAAGAGAATGTCAGATCTCTTATCTAGCCGGTCGAGTCTTACGCCATGCCTGGGAGCCAATTCAAGACGACAAATTTCACTTCGAAGAAGCTTTACAGCTGGAAATAACACTACTAACATTCATGCCGCTCCTTATAGAAGAAGGTCAAAAAAAGATTTTCTTCTGCGCCGCCTTAGGAATATGCACCAGGTTCATCCCTCATTCGTTTCCCCCTTCTATTCCGCCACCACATCACCAAAATTATAAGAAGTTAAGAACTAACCCTACCAGCTCCCTCTTCACACTCTACAACTCCTCTCTAACCTCCACACCCCCACTCCCACCTGAAACCCGCAAGCACCTCGTAAACTCCATGGAAACTTGCACCAGTCGCATCTTCGGCTTCTCCAGCGTCCTGTTCGCCGAACCAGAGAAAGTGGATTCCTCCATCATGTCTCCCTTCACGGCGTATTCGCAGTACCAGGCTGCACTGGTGATGTTGAGGTTTTGGAAGGAGACAAGGGAGGTGATCTACAGGGAGAGAATGGAGGTTTTGAGGATGGTTCTGGGGATCTTTGGGAGGAGGTGGGTCGGTGCTGGTTAGTAGAAGGGTTGCTAAAGAGGAAGCTCGCTAATGGAGAGATAGGGAGGTATCAGAGGATGCTTGACGAGAGGATTGCCGGATGGGGCGAGGATGATGTTCATCGTCCGAGTTTCTTCTAGACCCCTTGTAGTCCAGTGTTATGAGTTCAGCCGATTGACTATGCAATTTTTCGTACTCTGAACTTTGGTAGTATAAATCTTATAGATCGTCTTCCTTGCGCTTTACGAATCAAGACTTTGATTCTACGCCTACACCGAAATGATTTGTAGTCGCGTGCTCGAGCCTAAGGATCCGTTACAGATGTTTACTTCACAAAGACAATGCATGTGGACAAGTAGCCGACCTATATTAAGGAAGTCTTTATTCTGATATTTCTTCTAGGTAACCAAACGACCTACCTGCATATCTTTCTTCTTCTATATTTCTCCCTTCCCACTCACAAAAGATTTATCTGGGGCTGAATATACTGGAATCGAATCACAAGTTTTCCTCCCCTTAAAACAACCTAAGATAACTTAGTGGGTTTTGGGCATAAAATTACGACAATTTACTAGGCTATCAATCTTGATCGCCAACATCACATCAAAACTTCAGGCGAAGCACGCCGTGTCTCGCATCATTTTAGGTTCTGTTTGGTACTGGGGTCCGGTGTCGTCCTGCAAATATGAAAAGGGTCCTGCCCGCCGATGGTGTTAGGCAGATTAAATTAGGAGCAGTTGACACCAAAGATCTTTAAAACCAAAGTGTGTAGCCAAATCACAGATCCAGAGGCGTGTGAAGAAGGTCTTAGCTACCATGTTTCTATGTTAGACAATGAGGATGAGACTATTATCAACTTGAGAATATCGTGAGAGTAGATCAAAGATGATGTTAAATATGTAACACAATATAGCCACGAAGTTGATTAGTTGCTCCTGTCTCACAAACCCCAAACAGCCCCCAAGGGAGTTAATCAGGTGGAGGTAATAAGCTGATAGCCATCTGCAGCCCTACAGTCCCCACGCATAAGCGAGATGCGTATTAGAAGAGGGGCATGCTATTATGGGTATCGGAATGCATGATGGCGTTGCCAGCTTTCAATGAACGACTCGCACCAGGGGCAGTACATGATTTGCACTATTAATACTTCGTGATTTCTCTTCCCAACAGCGTAATCTTACATGTTGTACTGTAGCCACTCACTTTTGCATGTTTCTCAGCAAATTATAATACAAATCCTTGTGATGCTTCCCATTCTTCCGCTGGATACGAGATCGCCATCAGAATCCCTTCCCGTCAGCGGGTGGCTCTCAATAACCACACTCTGTCTCGCACCACTGATCGTGCACATCGTCGCTGTTGTCCCTCACATTGTGTATCTTCAACCCGATTCACCTTGATGGCACGACGAAATCTGTTTTTACAATCCAACCACAATCACATGGCGCTACCTCGCAGTCACCGACCGACGAGTTCGAAGTAAACAGTGGAATGCTGTCGACATGGCAGCAAGTAACGTGCGCTTCTGGACTCGTAACGGATGGGATGGTTCCGAAGAGATGATGGTTCGAAGCCGTATCTTCTGTGTCCACGCTCCTAAAAAGGCTTGAATGGATTTCTCTTCTAAAGTCGCGGCCGAAACGATTATTGTCACTCTCCAAGGGGTCCAGGCACTTCTTTCGCTAGCCGATTCCAACTATGAAGATTGGGTCATCTCGCTCGCGACTGTGTTCTTTACTTTAGCTGTTGTGGGATTACTGCGACTTCCAGCGGCTTACTGGATTTCTGACGAGGGTTCCTTTGTCGACTACCATTCTCAAATTAGAAGGGAATTTACGTCGATGGATGCCAGAGCTTATGAGCACCCAAAATTCGAGGCGGGGTGCTCTACCCTCCATACCAGAAAGAATAATTTCGAGAAGCCTTGTCCAGACATGTTGCTTGTCTTTCACCATCGAAACAACTGGCGCGCTTGGAGTGTCAAGATACCCTTTCTCACCTTCATCCTTACTATTACAGTTTTCATGACAAGCACACCTCTCGCCATATCCAGATGGTTGTCCATAGCGGAGCTTGTATCCATGTCTGTCACTGGAATCGTGATAACGGCAGCCTATTCTTTACTTATGACATCCATGTTCCTCATCATAGGATTCTATACGTTTCGAAAAGAAAGTACGACGACGATCATTCCATGCATACAACATCTGTGGTACAAAATATACACGCTCGTGATCTTCATAGCGTTCTCGGCAGTGATTGTTCTAGCTGCAATAGAGACGAGGAAGTCTTCTTGTGGTGTATATACCACGAACATCACGCATTCTATTTGTAAGCGTCGATGAAAACGGATACAATAGGGCTAGGTTTTTGGATGAACTGAGACGGAGACTTCGGTAAATGCCTAGGATATGTTATATACCTTACTAAGTTGATTAAGTCTTCAAGATTATTCTACTATGTTATAGTTATTGATTATCCTACGTTTCCTCTTTTCCCCTAAGAGTCTAGTGTAGTATTTTAGATTTACTTAAGTTAAGTAAATAAAGCAAATCTTAGCTTAGCCTATAAAATATCTAGGGGTAATGCGTAGTTAGCTAAGTTACTTTATTTACTATTTCCAAGTACCTTACTAAAAGATCCTATAAAGAAATAAAATATCTGTCGATTCATAATAGTGAATAATTATTAGCTAGCTCCGAGCGTAGCTGCTCCTTCGGGACTAGCGTGCTCTACTAGCGTACGATGGCATCTATAATTACGTAGCCACTTAGCTAGCTACACCTACTTCGGCATGTAATAATAGAGACTTATTTATTACCGTAGTAATATAGGCCTTTTGTATCACCCACTTGACTGAATAAGTCAAACCAACAATAACTATACTAATAGAAATATTGCCCTTCTAAAAAAAGAAAAAAGAAAAACAAGCTTTAAAAACTATAAACAGGCACTTCAAAGTCTCCCACCAAGGAAATATTAAGAGGGTGCGGTTGGCAGACCCATATGTAAAGGGGGTGGACAGTGTCACGAATCACATGCTCACGTGATACTTGTCATAATAAGAGGCGCAACCCTCGACAGGCATACCCAGGTTTCTTATAGCAAATAGGGATCGCTTAGGGTAGCTAAGCGATCCAGGGATTTCCATTGGTTATGGTCACATGATTAAGTTGGATCGCTGGATCGCTCGGCGACCTAGCGAAACGGACCGCCAGCTCGACAGGCGAGTTGGCTACCCAGATCATAGTACTTGAGGATGAAGGTTCTATATAAGACTGGCATGTCTGCCATTAGATAGGAGTTTCGTGCTCAACTTAGTTATCAATCTTATCATATTTGTTTGACATCTTTGATACAAGTAACGAGTTCACTTCCAAGTGAACAACCCGATAGTCTTCTTCTTATCATAGCATACCAACCAGCGAACACCCAGCCAAGTTTAGTTAGCCAGTTTGAGTATTCGTTACAGACAGCTAAGAGTGCACCATGTTACGCAGATCATATCAAAACCCACTATATGAGGGGCTCTTTTTAATAGCTTTTATGCTGTTTCTTGGACAGTTTTTTCTTACTAAGCAGTCCGATTGCGCATTCTATTAGCTAAAACCCTATATTTTTGGCTAAGATATATCGCATAAGAGTGGACCTATAGTAGGTTGTCTATCTTATTACTCTATAGCGTAGAAAATGATTTGATTTGATTTGATTAATAGTACTTAATCAAATCAAATCAGATTAATATATCGATTAATTAAATCAAATCGCTAAGTAATCTGATTAATTCGGATTAATTCGGATTAATACGGAGTCCGGTCGGTCCGAGACTCGGGCGGGTAGTCCGAGACAGACGTAGTTCGGATTATACCCGCCCGAGCCGCCCTCCCTCTGTATAAGTAATTTAATAAAATATTTATATATTAAAACTCTTTACTTATTAGTTATATAGACTCTGCTCTTACTTTGTTAGTGTTAGGGTGGAATATTAAATAGATTGTCCGCAAGGAGAGAAGGAGAGACTCCCGCGGTGGAACTACTTAAGTATCTATAATTACCCCTGTTATAGAGGTATATTACGTGTAAAATTAATTCACTATAAAACTCGAAATCGAACCTTTACAATTAGTATAAGGCTTGTAGTACTAGCTATAGGATCACGTGTAATTATATAACCTACTTTATATTGTCTTATAGAATAGGGATCTAATAACAAAAGAGACTCTAAAGGCTAGACTAGTAATAAGCCTAAAAAGCTAGGGGTGTTTTGTAAATAAGGATAAGGATATACTACTAATTTACTAAAGACGCGTTATTTGAGGACAATTAATTTGTACTTTAGTTACTATTTATAGTACTATAACTTATATTAATTAATTAATACTCTGATTAACTAATCGGTTAATCAAATCAATTCAACTAGACCTGTTAATCAAATCAAATCAAATCAAATCTGAATAATTCAGAGTATTAATTGATTAGTTGATTATTTTGTTCCCACGCTGTTACTCTAGCAGGGTGCCAATCTTGGCTGTCCACCCCCTTTATGTACATAGAGCGAAATGTCAATATAGCTACATCTTACAATTGCGTTCTAAGCATAGAGTTATAAGCATACTCTATTAAAACTATTTCTCTTCCCGAGGTACTCTATTACGCCCACGCACTTTCCATTGCAGCAAACTCCAAATCATGATTTATACAGAGCGAAGAGTTCCTTTAAGCACTGTGGGAAGTATAGTCAGGGGGAAGGACCGGGTTGACAATCATGTAGTGTATTGGAAAGTACAAAGGCAGGAGGGATGGAAGTCACGTAAAATATGGGTCATGTAATCTTATCACTATATAGTAAAGAGATAGAATAGCCACATGAAAAACCCAAGGGCTGTGTTTGTCCAGTCCTAAGAGATAGCAAGCGCCTTAAAGGTAACCCAGATATCCCGCTAGGTCAAAGGAAATACATTCCCCCAGTCCTCACACATCTCTCTCCCATAACAATTTTTCCAAAAATGCCGGTAGACGAGACTCTCCATGTTTCACAACCGCGGGAACCACATCCTATCTGGATAAATCCCCCCACATCCATCCAAAGACAGCTTTACCCAAAAAGCAATCAACCAATCAATCTGTTAAGCGAGACGACCAACCACCACATCTCCTAGAGATACACGCAGCTCGGTAGTTATACCCCCCCCCNTTTTCCCTTCAACGACCATATCTCTCACCCTACTTCAAATCTACCAACGCGTTTGATTTTCCCTAGAAATATTAAAACACAAATATACATAGAGACCTAATATATCCATATCGGCAGATGAATCCCTCACATCTCTTCCTCAATCACGTCCTAGTAGCTAGTAGTAACTACTATAGTGGATACACTATAGTAAATATTTATATAAAACCCTCACCACTCACCAAACTACATCTCCCAACTTCCGTACTCGTATTCCGATTTAATTTTAAGAAAGTCACGATGTGGTATATGACTCTGATTTTGTCGGTGGGAGTTTGCTTGTTGGGTGTGGTTACTGCGGTGCCTAGTCCTAGTCCTGGTCGTTTGGTTGAGAAAAGAGGATATTCACTTAATCGGTAGATCTCCATCCATACCCCCTAACCATACACTCATTTCTTCCCCATACAAGACCAAAACCAACCCAACTAACCCCTCTCCTTCCCAAAAAAAGAAAGCCCGGACCCTGCCCCCTCGATAAAACCGACCTCCTCGAAGAATCCTCCCTGACGAATTTCGAAGAATACCTCAAAAAACATCCCAGTAACTCGGGTTGTACACTGCAGAACGCTGCTCGTCGTTATGAATGGTATCCTTCCCTTTTCTTACCATCCTATCCTCTCCTCCCTTCCCCTTCCCATACCTCAATCAACAAGAACCCCCCTCCCCTCCCCAAGCTAAAAACAACCTCAACCCCCC